TGACATATTTTCTTCACTTTTCATGCCTATATAAAGGCCTTGTAATAAATAGGAAAATACACATAATTGAAGAAGAAATAAGAATCTCTTCTCTCTTTCTCCATATATCTCTTAGCTTATTTTTCTTGTTTCATATTGTTACTTTGAGTTATATTTTATAACACCTTATCTTTTTTTATGTATGCAGAAAATTCATTTTCTTACTTGTAGCTAAAAAGGTGCCACTTACTCTTAATACCAAATACAAATGTCGACTTTAGTCTAAGATTTCTTTTACCTCTTAAAGACAAAAAAAGAAAATTGCAATTCTTTATCCTAGTGGAACAATTTGAAATTATCGAATCGAATAAATAGAAACCAAAAAAAAAGAAGATTGAATCATAACGAATTTAATTAGATATGGTATTGTTAAAATGGAGATGTGGACTGTCGCCATTGATGGAGAAGAAGCAAGCTCGAGGATGAAGAAGATTAGAGCAAGAGAGAGAGAAAGAAAGCAATTCTCAGTATTTCTTATTAACCAACTCAAATGTACTGTACAATGCTATATTTATACAAAGGGATTAATCAGCTAACTAACTTCTCTAACTACCTATTTATTACAAATTAACAGCTCATTTATAGCTCACTGACAGCTAACTGTTTCCTAACTAATCTTCTAGAAGTGTACTTCCTTAAATAGCACTCTGTACAACTACTCACATCTGATCTAATATTTCAACACTCCCCCTCAAGTTGAGAATAAAAAAATGTTCTTACTTCCCAATTTGGATAACAGTTAGGCATGTTGCTGATGTCCCAAGGCTTTAGTTAGTATGTCAGCTGGTTGTTCTTGACTAGATATATGTGAAGTTCTGATAAGCCCCTTTTGACTTTTTTCTCTCAAGAAATGACAATCTATCTCTATGTGCTTTGTCCTCTCATGATACATGGGATTAGATATAATTTGCAATGCTGCTTTATTATCACAATACAAATCCATAGGCATCTGCAAATCTATCTGCAATTCTCTCAACAATCCACTAAGCCAAACCAGTTCTGCAACTGTATGTGCCATGCTTCTATACTCAGCTTCTACTGAGCTTCTGGAGATAGTATTTTGTTTCTTTGCCTTCCAAGAAATAAGAGATTCTCCTAGTTTGATGCAGTATCCTGTTATTGATTTTCTTGATATTGGGCAGGATGCCCAATCTGAGTCACATAAGGCTTTTATTTGCTGGCTGCTTCTCCTAGACATTAGGATGCCAAGACCTGATTGTTTCTTTATATATCTCACCACATGTAGTGCAGCTTCATAGTGAGACTTCTTTGGAGCATGCATAAACTGACTTAAGCTTTGAACAGCATATGAGATATCTGGTCTGGTGATAGTGAGGTACAATAACTTCCCAACTAGCTTTTGAAATCTCCCCCTGTCTTCTAGTATCTCATCAGTAGTATTGGTAGTCACACAAGCATCAAAATTCACACTTGTTAGTTTTAAATTTTGCTCCATTGGAGTCTCTTTTGGCTTTGATCCTCCCAATCCTACTTCGGAAATCATCTCAAGAGCATATTTCCTTTGTGACATCAAGATGCCTTCAGCAGACCTGGCAAACTCTATCCCCAAGAAGTACCTCAATTCCCCAAGGTCCTTCATTTTGAAACTCCGGTGAAGTGTGTTTTTAGCATGCTGAATTTCTTTCATATTTTTTCCTGTTACAAGTATATCATCCACATACACAAGTACAAGAACAAACTTATACTTAGTGAATTTAGTAAACAAGGAGTAGTCATGCTTGCTTTGACAAAAACTAAAATTCAGAAGAGCTTGAGTTAGTTTCAGATTCCATTGTCGTGATGCCTGTTTCAGGCCATATAGAGATTTAAGTAGCCTACATACCTTATGCTCTCCCTGGATACTAAATCCATGTGGCATTGTCATGTACACCTCTTGTTAAAGATCCCCATTGAGAAAGGCATTATGGACATCCATCTGATAAACTGGCCAGTGTTTAAGAGTTGCAGTATCAACAACTGCTATGACAGTAGTGAGTTTAGCAACAGGAGAAAAAGTGTCATGAAAATCTAGATTTTCTTGTTGTGTATAGCCTTTGGCAACTAATCTAGCCTTAAATCTTCCTACTGTACCATGTGCATTATACTTGATTTTATACACCCACTTACACCATATAGGGACCTTGCCTGCAGGTAAATCAACTACTGCCCAAGTGTGATTTTGTTCCAGAGCCTCAATCTTAAGATTCATTGCTTCAACCCATCTCTCATCCTAACAGCTTGAGATAAGGTAGAGGGTTCTGTATCTGAAGAGAAGGAGGCAATAAAAGATTGAAAATGAGCAGGTAGGTGTGAATAGGAAACAAGCTGTTGTATAGGGTAAGCAAAGGAAGTAGAAGGAAAAGGAGGATGTACATAGTATGTGAGCCAGATGGAAAGGTTAAGAGGTCTGTCTGATCTTATGGGTGGATCAAGTATAGGTTCAGGGGAAGGAATGGAAGTAGTAGTGTGAGGAGGCAAAGGAGAAGGTGTAGAAGAAGGAGATGAGTGATTCAGGGAAGTTGATGCTGAATCCATCAGGGAAGGGAGTTCAGGATTAATGAGTGGTTCAGGTGCTGATAAAGAATCAATAAAAGTCTCAGAGAAAGAGTCAGGTGTAGACAAAGTAGGAAAAGACATGGAAGGAGAATTGAGTGTGGAATTTGTGGAGGATAGGAACTGAGACTTTGGGTGTTTAAAAGGAAAGATATGTTCCTTAAAGACAACATCTCTATTGACAAAACAACTTCCCAGATTCAATGTCAAGCAGCCTATAACCTTTATGAGTGGAGGAGTATCCCATAAAGATGGCAGGAGAAGATTTTGGAGAGAAATTGTCACTGTAATTGGTCTTTGTGGCATAGCAAAGGCACCCTATAGTTCTCATATGGCTAAGGGTAGGTGCTGAAACATGGAATAGCTCGTAAGGAAACTTTCCTTTCAAAATAACACTAGGCAATCTGTTGATAATATATGTAGCTGCCAGAATGCACTCACCCTAGTATTTCAAGGGTATGTGTGCTTGAAATCTTAAGGCCCTCCCAACTTCAAGAAGATGCCTATGCTTTCTTTCCACCACTCCATTTTTCTGTGGAGTGTGGACACAACTACTTTGGTGAACGATGCCTTTAGATGTGAAGAGAGTAGAACAAGGATCATTAAAGAATTCATGACCATTGTCAGATCTAAAGGTCTTAATAGTGGTAGAAAATTGGTTTTGTACAAGTTGAATAAAATCATTCAAGACAACAAATACATCACTTTTCAACCTTAACAGAAAAGTGCATGTCATTCTAGAGTAATCATCAACAAGAGTGCGAAAATATCTAAAATCATTATAGGTGCAGACCCTATATGGTCCCCATACATCCATGTCACATCCCGAACCTGGGGGCGAGACCGGCACCGGGTGCCTCACCTAACCTAGCGTACCAACTTGCGACTAAGGGATTCTGAACATATAATCTCATAATTTGACCATGAGACCACATTGCAAGACAATTTGTGAAGCAAAATATAAAACTGAACGGAAACTAGCGCTGACTAAACATCAATCTAAAGTTGGGCCGACAAGGCCGTCATAACTACTACAACTGACAAACCAACAAAATATAGATACCAGTCCTACAAGCCCAACATATTGAACTAGCTGACATGATATGTCTATAAGCCTCTACTGATAGATATATTGTGATCGGAACAGGACCCCGACCTACCCATAACATATATACATACAGAAGATGTACACAAAACCCTAGACCCGATAACTCCGAAGGACGTGGAGCTCACCGATCAGGCTGAACTCGGGAAACTCCTACTGAGGAGGTCTACCTGTCTATCTATCTGAACTTGCACGCATAAAATGCAGCGTCCCCAGAAAAAGGACGTCAGTACAAAATAATATACCGAGTATGTAAGGCAATAACATAACTGAAAGCTGAAACTGAACTGATAATATAATAACTGAAAGTAACTGTGAGTCAAAGATGATGTGGAGATATACTTACCTGCTGATACTGACTCAACTCCTTCAATATAGTTAGTAAAATAAATGTCTGGCACCTATAAGGCTCGGTATGTGTAACTGCTCGGCCGTAGTAGGCTCGCTCATAAGCACTCGGCCATACTAGGCTCTGTATCCCGACCATTCTGGGCTCGCTCATAGGCTCTCGACCATGNACTGTAACTTCTGAGACTAGGATAATGTGAATAAATTCAAGAATACGAACTTCTCTTTATGTCTTGTTATCAAACATATGTAGTTACGGGATCATGCCAAAATGAAAGAAAGGTTTAGCCTTAACATACCTTATCACAATCTTTCCAATCACCAAGTTGAACTCGCCTCTTTGCACCTTAATCTACAACAACAATAATAATACTATCATTAAGTTACGAAAGGTACAACTATCGCACAACGAACGACAAACTTATTTTGTATTAAAATGGGCAGCATCTCCGCTATAATTCTTACTTTCTCCAAATTCAAGATAACACCAACAACACAAGAACGCAACAATAACAACATATATACATTATTTTCCAACCTTATATACACCACAAAATACTACAAAATAGCCCAACACACCCCAATCTCTTCATACACAAAACGACCACCGTAGTAGTGTCAAATAGCCCGAAAACATTACAACGAACGACTAGACCACCACCCTGCATTTATGTGGTGTTTATCCTCACCCTTCCTCCTCCAAAACCCCACAAAATAGTAGTAAAACATACAACCCAACATCAACACAAAATAGTCCACAAAAAAGTCCAAAAAATAGTCCGCTACAAGTGAATAACTCGAACTCACGGCTTCCGATCACCGCCCCGTGAATTCTTACAAATATAGAACGACTTACCATGAATTTACAGCAGAAAATAATGGATGAAATAGAGCAGTAAACTTACCTTATTTTTTGCATAACTCAACTCCTATCTTGGCTCTTCAAACTCTAGGTTTTACCTCCAATTAGAACTTGAAAGGGAGAGAAAATCAATTGGGGTTTGTGGGCAATTTTTTAGAGGATTTTTGCAGAGTTTATGTCTGGTTATTATGCCCTATTAACAGTCTAATATATGAAGGAGATAAGCCTTTAAAAATTCCTCTTTGGACTACCCGAAATGGCCCATTTTTGGACTCTCATTTAAGCAAGTAGGTGACAGTCTGAGCAGTCTTGCAAAAATGCCCATATCTCTCTACTCCGATATTATATTGACAAACGGTTTAATGCGTTAGAAAATAGACTTATAGATATTCAATTTGATGGGTGGAACACCCCATAACTCGATGTATATTGGGAGAAAATCGCAGTTACATATGACCCAAAGTTTCAGTAAAATTTATGAACGTAACTTATGATGACTTTCATCGACTTTTGTACCACAACTCGCTTGACTTCAAAACATAACACACGACTATCATACGACTAACATAACTTATAACATAACATCTTTATCATGTTAATCACCCTAGTCTCACCCCAAAAGTACATGTTATAACATTCCCAACTTGTCAACTTTCGACGAAACATTATTTTCTTCAATTCCTTTAGCTTCTGAACCTTCCAACCCTCTTTGTACTTGTTGTTCATGATCTTCAATATTTGTAACCTCTGAGGTAACTTACTTTATATATTTTCAAATATGATCTCATTTTTGGTCCTACATTAGTTTCTCACGGCGCACTTTTACGTACAAAAATATAGGGTGTAATATCATTTCCCCATTGGGAGCATTCGTCCTCGAATGTTTACTCTTAGAGACTTTGAAAATATTTTGCCAGAGTCTCCTCCGTACACTAGACTAAAACCAACTTGCACGCAGCCAGAAAATATACTATGCATGCCACACATGGCCAATGTCTATAAATAGCAACCCTTTGCCTCACACAGCTGTAAATCATAAATACTGAAAGTCAAGAAATAAGAGCTTACCTGATGACCTACTAGCCTGAATAGAGCTGTGCTGTAGCATCCCATCTCGAGCCATATCTTCAGTTTGAAATAGGTGGGGGTATTTAGACTTTATTTCTTCCTCCGTTTCCCACATCATCTCTTCCACATTCTTGCTTCTCTATAAAATCTTCACGGAGGCAACCTTCTTATTTCGTAGCTTGCAGATTTGTCGATCTAGGATGGCAACTGGAATTTCCTCGTATGAAAAGTCCTCCGTAATATGTACATCATCCGTGGGCACGACTCTGGTAGGATCGCCAATGCACTTTCGTAGCATAGATACATGAAAAATCGGATGGACTGACTCCAATTTTGAGGGCAATTCTAACTCATAAGCTACTTAGCCCACTCTCTGAATGATCCTATAAGGCCCAATATACCATGGGCTATGCTTGCCTTTCTTTCCAAACCTCATCACGCCCTTCATAGGTAATACCTTTAAGAATACCCAGTCATTAATCCCGAACTCTAAGTCTCGTTATATGACTTCTGATGACTCTGAGCTGTTAACAGGCGCTCCCGAATAAGATTTACTTTCTCTACGGCCTGTTGAACCAGGTCTAGCCCATGTAACCTAGATTCTCCAACATCAAACTACCTATAGGAGATCTGCACTTATGCCCATACAAAGCCTCGTACGGAGCCATCTGAATACTGGAGTGGTAACTGTTATTATATGCAAACTCGACAAGAGGTAGATGTTCATCCCAACTTCTTTTAAAATCCAACACACATGCTCGTAACATATCCTCGAGCGTCTGAATTATGCGCTCGGCTTGTCCATCAGTCTGTGGATGAAAAGCTGTGCTGAGATTCACCTGAGTCCCTAGACCTCTCTGAAATGACCTCCAAAAATGTGCTGTAAACTGGGCCCCACGGTCAAATATAATAGATACGGGTACTCCGTGTAGCCTCACTATCTCCTTAATATATAACTTTGCATAATCTTTTGCTATATATGTAGATCTGACAGGTAGAAAATGAGCTGATTTCGTGAGCCTATCGACTATCACCCATATAGAATCGAACTTACGATGATAACGAGGTAAACCAATGACAAAGACCATGTTTATCGCCTCCCATTTCCATGTCGAGATCTCTATAGTTTGCATTAGCCCTTCGGGCTAATGATGCTCTACCTTCACCTGCTGCCAACTAGGACACTGGACGACAAACTCATCAATGTTCTTCTTCATATCGTTCCACCAGTACACATCCTTAATGTCATGATACATCTTCGTCGACCCAGGAT